CTGTCCTGTGCATACTCACAGGCTTAGGAAGTACAACTTTACTCCTGTGTCTTCCATCCCCTCAGTGAAGGAGGTGACAGTCAAACAGGACGCTGACGTGGGACTACTTTTGGCAGTATATCATCCCATCAGCTACAAATATTTAAATATTTTTTCCCCTCCGTGCATGTTATGAAACTTCCAATATCAGAAGTGCTCTCTTCTGGAGCCACAATAGCATTTCGTAGTACTCCCCAAGGCCACATACCGAAAAAGAGACTTCCACATAAATCTTAATCAGGCAAGAAACTCTTTTTTGCACCTTCTCAGCTTCTAACTCAAGAGGAGATTGCAGCCCTCATGGCACAATAGTGTTACCTGGGAAACTTTTTTAATGCCAATGCCTGTACCTCATTCTGAGATAATGGCCCTGTTGATTTAGGGTAGGCCTGAGTCTTTTCCGTTTTTGCTTTTTGTTCATTTGCTTGTTTTTAAGCTCCTCAGGTTCATTTAGAACTACAAAGCACTTCCATATTGTGGCAGTTTCCCTGCCCTAGTGAAAGGAGGGGGTTAAGCTGCAAATGGGGGAACAGGAGGGTAAAGAGAAAAGGCAGTAGAATTCCATCCTTGAACATCCTGATCCTTTCGCCATTCCAACATGGAAGCATCTCACATCAGCACTCCTTTCTTTTGTGAAGGGTAAATGGGGTTGTTAGGATATACCCACTGCAGAATATGGTTTTCATCCCCTTAGCTCGTACCACCTAAAGATTAATACAGTATGACAATAGACCAGATATAATTACAGGGTAAGGACTCTTGGTAGCACCCCAGGTTCCATTTTATATGGAAGCAAGATAAAATAGCTAGCAATTATCTCACAGAGCCTAAACAATGAGAAGGATGATAGCATGTGTCATTCCCATGCTTTATACACATTGTAAGACCCCCAAATCCTTGCTAAAAGGACTTGAAACTATTCATTTTGGAAGCACAGAAAGAGAAAGCTTTCTTTTTCAGCTACAATCATACTTCCTTGGGATAGGCCTTTCTAAGCTTGGAAGCATTTAAGTTTTAAAAAATGCCTTCACTTGTGACAATGTGAATGTTCTGCAGTAATTAGTTTAGGATACTAAAGCCACACCCAGCTTCCATTGTTTGTGGAGTACAAGTCATGCCAGACTAGTTCACTGGTATTTTCATTCTCTGTGAATTCTAGAAACTCACTTTGATGGTGAATGGAGTATTTTCAAAATAGTGTCCATGAAGCCAGTGGGTACATATTGACTTTTCTAAGGAAATACTTAGAATATGCAGGTGGCAGTTGGAGGAACCCAACTGTATATAGAAATGCATCCCAGAATGGTCTTGTATTGTATTTTCTGAGGCTAAAGTTCCTCGGGTGATGAACAGTGACCTAGCAGAACAGAAATAGGACAGGGAATGAAGAGACCAAATCCTAGTACACTTCAAAGCTGCTTCTTGGTTGCTCAAAACTGCTAACGTGTATTGGTAAACAAGTCTTAAAACACACACTCCTCACTTAGCTATTTAACAAAGTATCGTCTTTCACTGTGTCCAATGCTTAGGATACAAAGATGAACACATAGAACCTGTATATGGATGTGCATAATCTATAGAAGGAAATAAACATGAAAATCAATTATTAAAATACAGTATGATAAGGTTATGATAGCTTGTGAAATTATCATTTAGGATATTAGGATCAGCGAAAGCTCTCCATCCAAGACTTGGAAAAAAAATTGAAGACTTGGTAACAGGAATAGTATGTCCTCTGAATGTCTTGGGTTTAATTTAAATACTCTGATAACCAGTTTCTCTCTCCCATTGAATTAGCAGCTTGAAAACTCAAAGCTAATTTGTAACAATGCTGGTAAACAAGTAGGACCCTATATTATCAATTCTATTGACTTTCTACCTAGATTCAACTAATGTCACCCTGATTTTGTTTACTTTCTGTTGTTTTGTTCCTTAAAAGTGCCACAAATCCTCTTTGTGAGGGGACAGGTTATAAGAAAATAAATAAATAAATAAACTGTGGCAAGAGAAGTCTGTTCAAGGTTTTATGAGAGCCAAGGGGAAGAGCGTAGCAGGCTGGCAGTGTTGCTAGGGGAGGCCAGGAGAGGAGTTATAGCACAGATGGGAAAAGCATCATAATAATAATGACCCTGACAGCAGTACTTATTAATAATAGTAATAAAGAATAGCCAGACCTTCAAGAATAAACAATAACTAGACCTTACAATTGTGGGGTCCTCTGTATGTATCTGTGCTTTGCAAACATTATTTCTCTGATCTTCACAGCAATCCCAACAAACAGATATTAATGTCCCTATTTTACACATGAGAATATTGATGTCTATGGAGGTGAGTAATTTGTGCAAAATGCCACCTCGAGCCCAGGTCGTCTTGTTTCAAATGATGCAATATTGCTACCCTGAAGCTCGCATGGAAGGATGAAGGGATTGACACGGTGTTGTCAATAAGAGTAGCTCCAAATATGTCCAAAAAAGGCATGTGGGGATACAGCCAAAGGGGAAGCTACAAAGATAAGGAAGGGCCAAGTCAGGAATAATATTTCTTTAGGTTATAGGAAGATTTCAAAGGATTTTAATAAGAAGGTTACATGAAAATGGAGAAAAGGGAAGAGAGGCCTCAAACTCTGATCCTTCTGAAATCCAGGGTGGCTGTCAGAGTTTCCAGGGCAAAGAAGCTTTGAAATATCACGTGCCGTATTTCACTACATGCCACAGATCACAGTGACTCCTTGGGGCACAAGAGCATTACAATTGTATTTATTTCCAATGGGAAGTGATTTTACATAAGACAGATTTACTTTGAACTCTATCCTTGTAACTTCCATTACCTAAGAAAGTTGTCGTGAAGCACTTTCTTCCTAAAGAGCACCAGAGACAATGTTAGGGAAAGGGCCTAGTGCTCTTAAATACCACATCCCATGAAGCCTTTCTATGGACTCAAAATGCTGACAGTGATGATGATGAAAACATTGTGACGGTGGTGGCAGGTGGCTGCTGCTAGTTACTGAACTATGTTTGATCCCCTGTGCCAGCATTTACTACTTCATTGAACCCTCACAACCTCCCCAGGAGGAAGGCAATATTATGTCCATATGACAGGACAGATGAAGGTTTAATCACACAGCTAATCAAGTGGTAAAGCTAGATTTTGAATCCAGGGCCAAATGACTGCGAGCCTTGTGGCAGACAGCTACCCTACCCTGCCTCCTATGAGGAAGCAATGAGATACTGCAGTTATCTTATCATGTTTGTTTGTTTTTTAAGATTTATTTATTTATTCATGAGAGACACGCAGAGACATAGGCAGAGGGAGGAGCAGGCTCCATGCAGGGAACCTGATGCAGGACTCAATCCCAGGACCCCAGGATCATGACCTGAGCCAAAGGCAGACGCTCAACCACTGAGCCACCCAGCTGCCCCTCTTATCATGTTTCTGACAACTGCTTCTTTGTCTCACAGGAATTATCTGATTTACAATAATAGAAAATTGGTTTTGAAACACTCCTTCTTCTACCTCCTTTTCTTTCTTATACGTACTTTTAGAAGACATAATGAGAGGATTTGTGTGTTGTGTGTGATTTGTGTTGCACACACACACATTAAATATGTGTGCACATGGGGCGCCTGGGTGGCTCAGTCAATTAAGCGTCTGCTTTCAGCTCAAGTCATGTTCTTGAGGTCCTGGGATGGAGTCCTGCATCTGACTCCCGACTCAGCAGGGAGTCTGCTTCTCCCTCTCCCGCTGCCCCTCCCCCTTCCTTGTATGCTTGTTCTCTCTCTCTCTCTCTCAAATAAATAAAATCTTTAAAAATATATGTGTGCATTTACCAGTGTGAACTCATACATTGAAAAGAAAATGTGTGGTTAAGAATTGCATTTTTTTGGGTCAGATCTGTGCCTTGCCACTTCCTAGGCGTGAGATTTAGAGCAAGTCATCAGACCTTGTGTGTGTCAGTCTCATTGCCTTTAAAATAGCAATGATTCCAATTCAAGACTGTTGCTTAACTACATTGAGAAAATATATCTGCAGTACTTAGTAGCACAGAGTTATTTGGTCAGAATTGTTCATTCCTCTTCTAATTCCGCTTTGGTTTTCAGGCTTTCATGCATAATCCTATTTCTATTTGTACACAGACCAAAGACCAATGTATATGTGAGCCCTCTCTTGGGAGCATTCATATCCTAGAGAAAGAGCTATATGTCACTGCCACAAGGCAGAGTTGTTAGTTCCTTCCCTCTCCACTGACACGGAGCCCTAAATTTCATACAATAATTCATTAAACTGTAAGGAGACTATCAGGGATCCTTATACTATAAGCCCTCAGGCTAGCTGACCCACAGCTGCTCCAAGCCACTCTGAGTCTGATATCTATGAGTTTACATCTCATTATATCAAATGTGAATACTCTACTTTCGACTGATGAGCATTAACCCTCCTACAGGTATTCTATGACTTCCATTAATATCCTTGAGAGTCTTTCCTTCTGTATCCCAGCCCTTCAATCCAGGTCTGTCTGACACTAAAAAGTGTAGATGCTGGTTGCTAGTAATCCGTGAATTCAACTTACCTTGTTAGGTATGGAGACTTTGCAAAGCTTAGATGACACTCTTTGCAACACCATTCGGTATAAATTTCGTTGGTTGATCATTTATCTTAATGCATCAAACTCATGTCTAACAGAGTAGACCAGAAAGCAAGTGCACATTCTAGGTCTTTTGGTTGAATCATGCATAATTGAAACACAGTAACATATGATAGAGGCATTGAGATCTCTGCTCCTGTCACAGAAATGTGCTCTGTACACAGGCCAGCCCCAGCAGAGGCCTGACCTCGTGCCTGGCGGGGTACTTGATTAATCACATAAGGTGTCCCTTAATCGCCTGCTCTCTGTAGAGCTATACATATGTTCTCTTAAATGACTTTGCCCCACTGTTATCCTAATTTGAAATTTTATTTTTCAGCCACATAAACAGAAGAACACAGTTTGAAAACCCTGTCCTGGAAGCAAAAAGGAAGCTACAGCAGCATAACATGCCCCACACAGACCTGGGAACAAAGCCCCTGCAGGCGCCAGGTTTCCGAGGTGAGTACCACGTCCATCTGCACTGTTTCAAAGGGAAAAACTATCTACCAAACTGCTCTTCCAAATATGCCTTTAGCTTAGACTATTTCAAATAATCAATTTGCTTTCCCCAAGCCCCTCTATTAGCTTTAGCTGGATGTTTGCTCTGTCTCTAAACTAATGCACTTAGCAACCATGGATTAAATTAAAGCCTCTGGCAGTACCTTATAGGAATTTACAGCATGGTGCCAGGTGGAGACTAATGGGTTTTGACAGTGGTACTGTAAACTGCAGATTCATAGAGACTCGTAGGTGTGTCCTCAAAAGACCACGCAAAAGAATAAGGCTTGTTCTCCTTTATGACAGTAGCTGGCTCCTCGTCGACATTACCTAGGCCCACATGCACCTGCCCCCGCGCTGTCCCGGAGAGGTCGCGCAGCGTGAATGACTTGTCTTACTATCCGCGTGACCACGCGGGGAGGCCTTGGCCCTGCGGTAGGTCCGGGGCTGCTTGCTGCACTTGACCACACCTTGGAGCTACGTGGTGGGATGAGTAGCTGCACAAACTTTTCATGTCTTGTGGGCTCTTACTCGTAAATAAAAGCACGAATATCGCACCACTACAGCACAAAGTGCAATGAATGTAAAGGTCTCACAGTAACTTCTCTCTGATTGTAAATGTTACCTTCATAAAGGGAACATAGATGGTGAGGTTATAAGCATTTTCCATTTGCATTTCAAAGAAAAAGATGTAAAATAGACTTAAATATAAAATAGAGAATTATTATATTTAATCTTTTTAGTGCAGATCTGTGATGTAAAATTCTAATATGATGACTCATTATATCTATTACATATCATCCAAAATGTAACAGCAGCAAAAGCACCAAAATACTTAAGCTAAATCTCTATGTACAGTTTGGCTGTTACAAACATCAAATCATATCACTGAAAATGTAACAACTAAATGTATTTATGTGTGCACGTGCATATGTGTGTGTGTATATATACATATATATATATATATACACACACACACACTTGACTGGGATAGCATTTAAAGCAGATATTAATTCTATTTCCCAGCATGACTATTACTTTTAAAGCATTTAATATGCTTAGGAATATGTTTATCACCGATCATAACGGGAAAAGCATATTATGTAACAAATTAGTGGCCAAACCTAAATGAGTGGGTTCAAGTTTTGTTCAGATGATTTAGGTATGTGATTTGAATGTATCAACATGTTGTTGCAAAATGTGTTACCTTTACATTCATAATTATATGTAGAAATTTTGGCTTGCCTTCTGCTCACACTGTAGAGTATACTAAACACTATGAGGTCAGTAGAACTGTATCTGGTTATCTTTATGGCATCTCACAATATAAGCAAAAGTCAACTCAGTCCCACATCCAGGTGCTCCTTCTAAATAGATTAGACATTTGAATGGATGGTAGCATTCCATGGGTCTTACCCTTTTAAAACTAAAACAGTCCATTTGGGTTTTCTGGTTTTATCCCTTCAAAGTTTTGTGCAGGACCAGCCACTCACACATACCTCCTGATTGAACTCCTTTAGAACAAGAGGAATGTATACAGATGTGTCTGGATGATTTGGGCTCCACTTGATTGATAGGCTTTGATAGCCTATTGATTCAGCCTTTAAAAAAAAAAAAGCCCAAGAAGGGCTACTTTGGTGAATGGAAACCCTGACTTGACAGAAAATCTACCAACCAAGCAGCTTTTTCAGCTTTCCTGGATGCTTGGGACTGCTCTGTGTTTGCAGGCAGTACTAAAAGTTCTGCTCCTACCGTCACCCCCTGCTTGCTTTTACTACAGGAAACACCCACACTGACCCCTGGCATTGCTGCTCCGTAGCTGGCTTTCGCCCGTGTGAGAACTTGCCTTAAATACGCTTTTTCTTTTTTAACTTCTATTGGCCAATGTAGAAAAACCGCTCTTCACCCGGGATGCATCCCAGTTGAAGGGAACATTCCTCAGCATCACTCTAAAAAAGAGCAGCATGGGTTTTGGATTCACCATCATTGGTGGAGATGAGCCTGATGAGTTTCTGCAGGTGAAAAGTGTGATTCCGGATGGGCCTGCAGCCCAGGATGGGAAAATGGAAACAGGTAAGGTGCTTACTGCTCTAGAAATTCTAGAAATTTTACAACACCTTTCTTCCCCCTCACCCAAGGCAAATAGGAGGAGCTTCTTTGTGTGTTCTTAAGTTGGAGGTCAAAGATCCCTTCTCTTTAGGGACACCAGAAATTATATTTCTCCTAAGTTTTGGAGTATCAAATTGAAGTATTTTGGAAATAGCTCTAAATATCATTTTTGTCTCGTTTTTCAGACTGCCCCTTCTATTTGCTGGATTTAATGGACTCTTGAGATTGGCACTTTCCTAATTTATTTTTAGAGTTCCTTCTTAGAGATGTGATTAACATTTCATACTATTCTACCTTATGTTCAACCATTGATATTTTAAAATCTGCATTAATCTTGTGATATTCTCATGCTGAATTGCCCAGGTTAGATATTTAAATATGCATGTTAATCTCATAGAAAAAAATTTGAATGGTATTCATCTTTATATGTCCCCATCAATGTTTTAATATATAAGGGTTTTTTCTATAGTTCTTATGAATCAATTTTCACATGCAGTTAGTTGGATGTCTGTCAAAGTATAATCAAAATTCATCTAACATGGAGATGCAGAGGCAAATTGTTAAAGGCACGGAAGTATAAAATATGAAAGATGCACAGAGGTAGAAAAAAAAGTAATGAACTAAGTGTGGTTTCACAGTCTGATTTTAAATTCTCCTACCTGGCCCATGACCTTGGATTAATCTCATAATTTGTAAATGCTAGTTTTTTTTACTTGGGGGACAAAAAGAAGAAGTCAAATTTGATCTTGTTTACTTAAAATACTGATTCAAGATTTTTGTAGTGTTGTTTTTGAAATACATTAGAAAGAGTATTATAAAATGCAGGGACTATATCTCCAAAGACCTGTATCGCCATTACACATTTCTCACAATGTTGATTTGATTTATGATATCAATTCCCTAAAGTTAATGTGTCCTAGTACATACACAAATTAGAGAATTACTTTTGAGGAAATGTTTTTACATCTCTATGGTCTGCATATTTGTTAATTGTTTTATTACCACTAGGTAAATGGTTCCTTCAGAAATAACTTCTTTTCAGGGTCACTAGTGAGTGAATAATAATCCATTTAATAGGTATTGCATCTCCTGAAAAGTTGAGCAAAGTTTTAAAACTAACCCACCACATTTTTCAAATACTACAGTTGTAAAAACCACGTGTACATCATTTTCTGTAAGAGTTCAGTTAGGGAGTGTCCAACTCTACTGTTCGTCTGGTGATATTTTACTCAACATGCACACCTTCATGTTGCCAAAAAATCATAGAGAAATATCAAATGACTCAACTTAAAATCGTCTTATTACCTACAATTAGAATAAGAGGAAATTATAGAAGGAATACCATCTCAGTAGAGGGACAGGGTTCCCCAAAGCTTTTGAACTTCAGTGAAATACATAATAAACTTCTTTGTTTTCATGATAAGGAATAGTTAGTTATTTTTTCTCTGATCCAACCCACTAGTCCATGTTTCAAAACTATAAAGTGTAAACTTAAAAGACATTTGCACAGCAACGCTTTTTCCCTTCTTACTCCTTTTGCTAGTTTGCTATAACCACAGTCTAAGCTAGCCTTACTCAGCCACAAAGTCAAAACTTTTGTTTAGAATTTAGCACATTTTCTTCATTGTTAATCACAAAATAGGTCCTAACAGAAAAACTTATATCTAATAATATTCACTGCTTCGCTTTTATTCCTATTCATTCAAGAAACACATGTTCAGCTCTTCACTTTCACAAACTTCACAAACGTTACAGTACACAAGGGTGACAAAGATGGATAGGACATGACCCAGCTCTCAGGGAGTTTTATCTAGGAAGGGGCCTCCGATAGCTAAACAAGGAGTTGTAACACAATATGAATAGGATGAATCTGTAATAACCCTGATGTTGGCACAAAGTCAAGAGAGTGGAAGGAGGAAGCAACAGAAATGTTTAAAAAGAAAAGCATGTTCCTAACCACATAGTCTTATTGGGCTTTTATAGAAATGATCATTTCTCTCATTGGAAAAGAATACAATGAAAGTTTGAAATCGGCTGCTTATAAAATACTAAAAAAATTTAAATGTTTATTTTTAGTTGTGAGACAATTTAAGTAAAATGTAAGCGCATTTCTATGGCATTCCACAAGTTAGAATAGGAATGGCTCCTCAGTTCATTCAGTTAATATTTTATGAATATCCATATGTCCCAGGTGGTCTGCTAATTATTAGGGATGCAAAAATGAAGAGACAGATGTTTCTATCCTTCAGAAGCTTAACTATAGAAATAATGAGTAGCATGTTACTGAGTATTTACATCAGTTCAATAAAAATAAATATAAAGTTCAGAAATAGTACAGAGGAATAGGAGATTCAGTCCATTGGGAGGTGCTTAGAGAAAGAGCCTCATAGAAACGATGATGCCTGAAAGAGTTTTGAATGATGAATAGGTGTTTGCTAGGTGTACAAATAAGGAGAGCCATAGGAAGAGGAAACAACATATGCAAAGCCACAGTAGTGGGGGATACCTAGAAAAGGTTTATGTGCCATCACAGTATATGGCAATATTCCAACCTCAGTAGCTATTCATGTGAACTAGCAAATAAAAAGATAATCATAACAGGTAAAGGAGAACTATAATGACATGTAGGAAACATCAAAGAATAGTATATGGTCATATAACCTCAACTAAAAAACAGATATCATAAATGCATGAATACTTATACATAAAATCTTTCTCAAATACAGTTCTTATAGAAATTTTCAACCAATTAGGCATAGAGTAATTTCGACTAATTACTCTATGGCTGATGTTTTCTTTGTGTGTCCCTAGAACCTGAAACAGTGCAAGGCAAATAGCAGGTGCTCAATAAGTATGTGTTAGATGGATGAATGGATGAGTGAATGGATTGTTGGATATACTTAGAAATTAAGAAAGGAAATTTGAATTGGCTAAATTCTACTTTTACAGCATGGCCTGGTGAAGGCTAGTTGGACCTATAACTTACCAATAAAACAAAACAAACCAGCCTTCCAGTTTCTGGAAGAAATTAAAAAGACAAAAACATGTTAAGGACAAAATTGATTTTCTTTTTGTAATGACTATACAACGAACCTATAATCTATAGGTTGATTATAAATGAACCTATAAATGAACCTAAAGATTTTTTTTAAATAGACACTACAGATAAAATGATAAATCTTTAGTATTTAAAAGGTCTGTGGTCTCGGGGTGCCTGGGTGGCTCAGTCCGTTGAGTTTTCCACTCTGGTTTCAGCTCTGGACATGATCTCAGGATTGTGGAATTAGCCAGAGTCAGGCTCCAGGCTCATTGGGGAGTCTGCTGGAGAGTCTCTCTCGCTCTCTCTCTCTCTCCCTCTGCCCCTCCTACCACTTGTGTTCTCTCTCTTTTGCTCTCTCTCTCTCTCTCTCTCTCTCAAATAAATAAATAAATCTTAAGGCAAGTAGTCTCATTTGACATTGAAATAAGCATGAAGATACTTGAATCAATTTTTCTAGCTCTAGGTTTTCCCTAATTTAGGCAAAGAAGCATCAATAATTTGTATGAACACAAAGGAAGATTCCCTCTACTAAAATGTTGACCAAGCGTCCTGCACAATAGAAACAAGCATAGGATGGGAATTCTTTCCTTTTCAGTCAGGACTGATTCAGGGAAAGGGGTACGGAAGAGGAGAAAATGAGGACACTGTGCCCCTGGCTGCTTTTTGACAAGTAATTGAGCCAATCCCCAACGGTCCTATAATGTTCTAGAAGAAGCTTTCTTAGAAGAAATCACCACAGGGCCCAGAAACTATCTGAGTTCTGATTTTTTAATATTCTACATCCTGGCAATCATTTGTAGGCACCAAAGATCCTGATAATATTCTTTAAACTACTTTAAAAATCAAGACTGATATACTAAGGCTTATAAACTGCAGAGCCCAAGAGTTATTTATCTAACATCCTTCAGTGAAAAAGCTTCTCTCATTACACGATGTCTCCTGTTTTTCCTCAGGCTAATTTTTGAATCAAGGCTTGAGGTTTTCAACAAGTGTAAGAGGGAGGAAAGCTGGCCTGCCTGTGAAGTTCTTCTGTAAAATTATGAGGTCACTCCCAATCTATTAGATGTTATTTGCCCTCTTCTAAAACGTATCTGTGTTATGAGTGAAATGGCAAGAAACTGGGAGGCTAGCATCCTGACATTCTCTGGCTCCCCGCACCTCTCCATCCCAGCAGATCACCGTTACTGCTCTTTCACTGTTTGCCTCCTCGTTCTTTGTGTTTCTGGAAGTAGAGGCATAAGATAAATTTTGTCAGAATCACTTGGGGAGCTTTAAAAGATGCAGATTCCTGTGCCCCTGTGCCTACTGATTCCAGCTTCCTAGAAGTGGTTTTTGGAAATGTGCATTTATAGACTTACAAAAACTGTCAAATAAATACATGCATGTGGGAAAAAATAGCATCAAAATATCTGTAATGCATAAAATATCTCCTGTCGTGCCCCTCCCCACCCTCCAGGCCCACATCTCAGAGGCACTCAATCAGTTTGTGTTCTTATAGATGGTAAATACCTTCACACCTCCAATTAATGTGTTTATACTGTTGTGTTGATTTAACAGATTTAGACATAACCTATATTTACTTCCTCTTAGAAAGAAATGAAGATTTCACTCTCTTGTCTCCCATCTGCCTTCTCACACTTTCCCAGTAGAATTTCACAACTAATTTTAGTAATATTTGTACAGTTTTTGCATTACCATGGCTTTATAAATTTGTTCTCTGACCCCAGCTGTGCACCATTAATACATTTTCCCCCCTCAACAGCTTTGAGAAGTTTCACTTTGTCTTTCTCTCTTGCAATCTCTTTCTGCAAATTATTATTATTTTTTTTTTCCACCAAAAGCACCATCACATTAGGTCCTCTAGACAGTCCTCTTTTTTCTGGGCATCTTTTGTCCTCCTGTTCCTGTCTGAGGATAATTGTTC